TCTGGGAGAATCCCTCAGCTTATTTATTTATTTATTCATTCATTTATAGACAGAGTCTTATTCTGTTGCCTGGGCTAGAGTGCTGTGGCTTCAGCCTAGCTCACAGCAACCTCAAACTCCTGGGCTCAAGCAATCCTGCTGCCTCAGCCTCCCGAGTAGCAGGGACTACAGGCATGCGCCACCATGCCCGGCTAATTTTACTACGTTTAGTAGAGATGGGGTCTTGCTCTTGCTCAGGCTGGTCTTGAACTCCTGACCTCAAGTGATCCTGCCACTTCAGCCTCCCAAAGCGCTAAGATTACAGACGTGAGCCACCACACCCAGCCCCTGAGCTTATTTTTAACTCAATAATTCATTATTTCAAAAAGTTTTAAAATATTTCAACAATACATATAAGTGTAAAGAATAAACAATATAACAAACACACTAGTACACATCACTCAAGTTTGGCAGATCTTAACATTTTCCCATATATGCTTCTTCCTATCTTTATTTTTAAGAAACAAAACATTGCAGATACAGCCGAAGCTCTGCGTGTCCCTCCCCATTCCATCCCCTGCCTCCCTCTCCAGGGGTAGCAACTATATTGAACTTGATCTTTATGATTTTCAAATTTCCTTTTTATTAAGACATTATTTATAAACACTAGAATTTACTTATTTTAGGCGTACCATACAATGATTTTGGTGATTGTATGAAATTGCGTGACTACCGTCACAATCAAGATATAAAACACCTTCATCACCCAGAAGTTTCCTTGTGCCCTTTGCAGTGAGTCCCTTGTACCCACCCTGGCCCTAGACAATTGCATTCTGTCACCATGGTTTTGCATTTTCTAGCATTTCCTATAAATGGAATCATGCCGTGCATAGTCTTTTATGTTTGATTTCTTTCACTTAGCGTATTATTTGTGAGATGCAGCCATGTTTTTGCACGTATTATTGTTTCATACTTTTTATTGCTGAGTAGAATTCCCAAGTATGGATATACAAGGATTCATTTATCCAATCAAAAATTGATCAACATTTAGGTTGTTTCCAGTTTGGGGGCTATTCTGAATAATACAACTATGAACATTTGTGTACCAGTCTTTGTGTGGACATATGCTTTAGTTTCTCTTGGGTGAACACTTGGAAGTATAATTGCTGTGTCATAGGGTAAGTGTAGTTTAACTTTATAAGATGATGGCATACTGTTTTCCAAAGTGGCTGTGCCATTTTGCATTCCCACTAGCAATCTACGAGCATTCCAGTTGCTCCATACCCTTGTCAACACTTGGTATTGCTAGCTTTAACTTTAGCATGTGGTTACTTCATTATTTTAATTCTATTTCTCTAATGATTAGTGAAGCTGAACATCCTTCATGTGATTATTGCCATTCATATGTCTTCGTTTGTAAAATTTCTGTTCAAATCTTTTGTCCATCTTTATTGAGTTGTTTGTTTTATTATGACATTGTAAGAATTCTTTATATATTTTGAATACACACACTCCATGTGTGTTTTTAATGTAAATTTTATTTAAGTATAGTCATCCATATTATACTAAAAGCATCAAAAAGGCATAGAGTATTGTTTTCATTTCTTTAACTTTATATAATTGATATTATATGACTCTATCATTCTGCAATTGGCTTTTTATCACTATGCATTATATTTTTAAAATTTATCCCTGTGGATACATATTGCTCTAGAGAATTCATTTTACCTGTTGTATAGGATTCTATAATGGGATCAAAACATAATTTATTTATCCATTCTCTGTTGGATTATGGGTTGTTTCCAAATTTTTGCTATTACAAACAGTTCTGCAGTGAACACTCACATATATTTTCTTATATACACATAAGAGCTTCTCTAAGCAAACACCTAGGAGAGGCATACGGGCTGCATATCTTTAAATTTATTCCAATTTTCTCTAGCTATATTTATTCTACTATTCAGCCAACCTACTGAGTTTTAAATTTGAACAATTATTTTAAATTTCCAAGATCTCTTAGTGATTCGTTTTAGTAACAGCCTGTTCTCAATTCATGGATATGGTATCTTCTCCAGCGTCTCTAGGGACAGTAGCCACACTACTTTAAGGTCTTCTTTTTGTTAAGTCCGATGCTTCTCTTCCATAGTGATGACTGTCCTCAAATTCCTGGGTATTCTTGGTCTTCTGCTCACCTTTGCTTTGAGAATTCCTATCTGCCTGTCTCTGAAAGTGGCTTTGACCACATGGGCTTGTCTTTGAGAGTCACCGTGAAGGAGCGCTACCAGTGCCTGCGATGGAAGTTGATCTTTCTCCCATTTCCTGGTGTGCCACTAGATTCCCCAGGGCGTGTCCCTGCCTCTCAGACCCAGATATTCCCACTCGCTGCTCAGGCTTGCGGGCAAACTGCCTGCCAACATCACACTTCAACTTAAAGAGGGAAAACTGCCAGACCAATGTTTTAGCAAATGGGGGGGTGGGGGCAGCTGGGCAGGGGTGGGCGGGTCAACCTGGCTGCCCGGGATGCCCTCGGCTCTGACTCCCGCCATCTTCCCGGCTCTCCTGCTGGCCCAAGTCCCCCGCCAGCCCACCCACTCTGAGCCTGGAGCACTCCTGGAACCAGCCCACCGTGCACGGTGAATCCCTCCTCCTGTGTTTTGGGCAATGGACTCCTCTGTCAATCCAAACCTGTCCACTTTCCACCTTTCAGGAATCCCACTCAAGACTCTCTTTCTTGTTTCCTACAACTGGTATACATCTGCAGGAACACGTATTTTTTTCTGTGATAGCTAGAGATTTTGAGAGAGAGGACTGTGTACCCAGTCTGTCACTTTTGCCCAGTCTTCTGTACATCTTACCTTCCTCCCATCCTTCCTTGGTCCCTCCGACCTTGGGTCTCTATGTCTCCCTAAGTCTCTGCCTATGTCTCTGTCTCTGGCTGTCATTCTGCGTCTTGCTGGGCTCCACCTTGGTTCTGATGACCTCTGTTCTCTCTCTTCCTGGCTCTCCAAGCCCCTCAGCCTCCTCAACGCCCCAGTCTCTGGGGCCGTTCCCCATCCGAGCGAGGCTCTGGCCCCCGTGGCTGGCTGGCTCTGGAGCAGTTTGCGGGTGGGGGAGCCCAGATTGCTGCAACGTGGAGCAAGGATTTCCAACACATGCTCGCCTGGCAGCCTGCCACCAAGCTCGCTGCCTGCCAACATCACACTTCAACTTAAAGAGGGAAAACTGCCAGACCAATGTTTTAGCTACAGCCCCGTGTCAGGGTTGCACGGGGAATCTCGCAGCAGCCCCTGCCAGGAGCCGGAGCTGTGAGGGGACTCAGGAAGGGGCTCAGGACTGCTGGGTGGTAATGGGGGGTCCTGGCTGCTACCCACCCCCTACCCAGCCTCACTGGTTCTGGGTACCAGAACATTTGCCTAGAATCCACTCCGGGTTCGAGGCTGAGCCAAGTTCCTCTGAGCTTTCCCTGGAAGGAGGCAGGTCACCAGTGGTCCTGCTTCCTCGCATCTCTCCCTGTCCCCCACGCCACCCACCATGTAGCTGTCTCCTCCACCTACGGGCAGGTGGCTCCGTGCTCTGAGCCAAGAGACCCTAAGCTCAGGGAATGGCCTGGAACTGAGGAAAGTAAGTGGAATCACTCTGGTTTTACTGGTCAAGAGTTAGAAAAAGTCAGACAACAGTGTAGAAGCACTCATCCTCACCAATGAAGAAGTGCCCATCACTCTCAGTGCAAAAGCTCCATTTTTTCCCCAGGACTTAATTCCTGCCAGCATGGATGTGCCCATCCTTGCCAGTATAGACATGCCCACGTATAGAAACACTCACTGGAGCAAATGCAGGGATTTCTATGTATGTGAGTGTAGAAGAGTGCTCGTCTCTACTTACGTACAGCACCCTTTCCTGACCGTACAGACTCACCAGTTCCTTCACAATAATCATCCCATTTCTGTCCCCATGGACATTTCCACCTCAATAGCAGATGCTTTTATTCCCATCGGCGTAGAAGGACCCACACCTGTGAGCTCTATGCCTGTCAGTATAGAGGTGCTCCCTCTCTACCTCCCGCCAGGACTCTATCTACATGTCCCTTCTTCCAGGAAGCCTTCCATCCTTCCAGGGATGGTGCACCCTCCCTGCAGATGCAGAGGTGTATTCGGGGCTAAGGAGGGGCAGCACTCTCATCTCTGCCGTGCGGAAGAACCTGCGCAGCCAACGTGCCGGTTCTCACGCCTCCCGGCGTGGCTGTGCCCAGAGTTCCAGCACAGACGAGCCCATCCCAGATCTGGGGCAGTGCCTCTTTTTAGGAGCACAGCGGCTTCCGGAGCAGTAAATATCAACACATGCATGGGTGTGAATGTGAAAGTAGCCATTTTAACCAGGGTAGAAACACCCATCCTTGAGCACACTGGTTCCCACCAGTGTCGAAGTGCCCACGAATGCGGAAGCAGCTACCGGTGGGCGTGTAGGAGCTCCCAGCGCTGCCAGCAGGGACGCACCCATCTGCTACCAGAGCCCGGAGGCCCCTCGGGACACCCGCAGACCCAGAAGGAGTGCCTGTGGATGCGGGCAGCGTGGGAAGGTGGGGCAGTGAGGAAGCACCTGATCAAACCCCAGCCTGGCGGAAGTGCCGGCTGCCAATATAAACAGATACGCGCTAATAATCACCCTTTCTTAAGAGCCCCACTTGCCTGTCCCATTTTCCTGAGGACGCCACCTGCACAGCTGCTCCTAATCAAGGACCATTTAATTCGTTCCCAGATCATTGTCTGCACTAATTGTCTTAAACAAACCCAAGTTCATTTCACCTTATTCCCCAAGGGCCTGGAGGGCTTCTAATTACCTGTAGGTGGTTCTCCGCGCAGCCCAGCTTCATTAAAGATCACAATATGTTCCTCTAATAGGTTTCCCATTAAAATCCAATGGGTTCCCATCAAAATGAGTTATGTCCCAGAAAAAAAAAATCCACTAAAATATACTTCAATTAAAGTGAATTAAATATTGCATATGTCGGTTTCTGCCAACAGGTTGCACTGGAGACTGGTGCTAGCAGGAGACGAAGAGGAGAGGTAGGGAGGAGGGAAGGGGGAGGACGTGGAGGGACAAGAAGCTCAGTTGTGGGTGAAGAGCTTTGGAATCGGACAGTGGATCTGCAACTCCTGGTGGGGTGACTCTGGGCAAGCTCTCTCTGAGCTTCAGTTTCCTCATTTCCAAAATGGCAATAGTAATCTCCAGCTTGCAATCCATTTTTGCTAAGAATAGCGACTATATACAAAGTGCTTCACACACATAAAAAGTCCTCAAGAGGCGTCACTATTATAATATTATGACTAAATATTGTATTAGTCAGCTGTGCTGTGTAACACCCCTGCCCCATCTCAGTGGCCTACAACAACAAAATTTTATTTCCCACAAGGACTGCAGTTTAGGGCTGCCCGTCGTGTATCTTCGTGCTCAGGAACACAGACGGAAGGCACGTCCCTCTCTGGGACACGTCATGCTCTTGGCAGGGGGCAGAGGTGCAAGACAGCAAGCCGAGCCACGCACCTGCACTCAGAGCTTGGGCCGCCTGGCAGAGGCCATGTCGCCCGTTTCCCAGGGGTCAGACCAAGTCACCCTGCCCCGCCTAGCGACAGTGCAGAGAGTCACCGACCAGGACACAGGGCAAGGTGGGGCCGGATAATCCTCTTACAGGAAGTGAACGAATAATCCTCAACAATACAACCATACACTGCGATCCTACCATTAGGTTTTATGGCAGTGTTGCCCAACTTGCCTGACAATGAGATCTTGGAATGGGGAGAGGAGGATAAAATTATAGAGACTGAGTCCCAGCTCAGAGGTACCAAGTCAGATTCTCCAGGGGAGGGTCCTAGGAATCTGTATTTTTTAAACAAGTGTCTCAGATCATCTTTATCTTTTGGAACATTTGAGAGACACATTTTTGTAGCATAGTTGATAAGAACGTGGGCTTTGAAACAGATCTGAGATTGCAAACTATCTCTACCCCATGTTAGCTGTATAATCAAGGGACAGTTTTTTAATCTCTCTGAATCTCAATTCTTTCATTTGCGAAATGAGATAATGCACGAAAAGCACATAGCACAGTCCCTGGTACAGGAAGCGCTTTCCTTGACATTAGCTCTCTTCTTAGTTTTCCTTTTTTCTTTTTTTTAGAATTTATTTTTTAGAGTCATTTTAGGTTCACAGCAAAATTGAGAGCAAAGTACAGAGAGTTCCCCTATGCCCCCTGCCACACACATGTACAATCACCACCCTGCACCAGAGTGGAACGTTTGTTACAATTGATGAACTTGCGTTAGACACATCATTGTCACCCGGAGTCCATAGCTTAGCTTATGGTTCTTTCTTGGTGTTCTATAGCCTATGAGTTTAGACAGATGTATATGACATGTGTCCATCATTACAGCTTCATGCAGAGTATTTCCACTGCTCTAAAAATCGTCTGTGTCCTACCTGCCCATCCCTCCAATAGCTCTACCTGTTTGTAAAATAACAGTAATGACGATAGTGAATATGAAGTGCCCAGCTCCGTGCATTGTCATAAATGGTGAACTCTAAGAACAATGGTATCAATTATGATGATAACAATATACATAACAGAAATATATAACATAACATACATGTAAGGATTAAGCAGGGAGCGCTGTCTACAGCAACAACTATTGGTTTAAGCTCTAAACTCCTTAGTACTATGGTAGCCCCTGACGCCAGCTACATAATAGAATCACCTGTGGCGGTTAAAAAAATTCCCAGTGCCTCGGCCCCACCCCTGGACATTCCGATTTAATTAGTCTGGGCGAGCTCTCCGGGTGTCTGTCCCACGCAGCCAAATGTGGAAACCACCACCCTAGAGAGTGATACTCAGCGTGTGGTCCCCGGGCAGCAGTACCGCCATGCCTAGGGGCTTGCTGGAAGTGTGGACTCCCGGGCCCACCCTGGACCTGAGGAATTGGCATTTCCAAGATCCTGAGCTTATTTTTCCCATGTTAAAAGCCGAGAAGCGCTGTCCCAGGGACCTCATGACCCCCCAACACTCACACGGGTTGCAACCCTCAACCCACCAGCGGCGCTCAACGTTGTCAACCAGTTTTCAGTCGAAAGAACGCCGTCCTCTCTGGGTTTCAGCGACACCACACACTTCTGGTTTTACACATTTCTGGCTGCTTCTCAAGTTTTTCCCTGATTCTTCTCCATTGACCGCTAAATGCTCGAATGCCAGGGCTCGGTGCTGGGTCCTCCCCTTTTCTCTGTCGCCTCTATTTTTAGGGGCCCTCACCTGATTCCAGGGCTTCAGATCCCATCTATGCCCATCTCACCCGTGTGGTGCCTGAGCTGCAGGGGCTGTTGGCAAAATAAGTACCTGTGTCAGGGCCGACTTTGGGACATGCAGCCTGTGCAGCCCTGCACTTAGTTCAATGCTCTGCTGTCACCGTCGTGACATTTGTAATAATTTTTGAAAAAGGGGCTCTGCCTTTTCATTTTGCATTGGATTTGCATCGGGTTTGCAATTTGCATAATTTGCCCCACAAATTATGTATCGGGTCCTGACCTCTGCTCCCACCGTGAGTCCCGAGGCGGGAGCTGCCCAAAGGAGTGAGGCAGCGTGGAGTGAAAACACGGCAAACATCCCCACGATGAGCTTCCCCACTCTGGCTCGTTCCTCCCGTTTCCCGCTGTTGGCAAATGGCGCCCCGTCACCCTGTTTTTCAAACCAATGGTCCTTGATCACTCTGTTTGCTGGAGTGCACATTTATCCATCTACCTCCAAAATGTTTTGACTCTGTCCCCCTTCTCTCTAGCTCAAGCCCACCTTGTCTCTTGCTGGAACATTCGTAACTGGTCCCCTGCCCCCTCTTGCCTCCAGAGCAGCTGGAACGATCTTGAGGGTGGGGGAGCTTTCCCACGGCTCCGTGTGGCCCCTGCTGGCTCTCTCGTTCCCTCCCTCCCACTCCCTCTCTGTGTGCCCTGCTCTCCAGCCGCACTGAGTGGCCTTCAGTCCTTTGACCTCTGGGGTCTTTGCACAGGCTGTTCCCCTCCCTGCACACTCCATCCTCCACAGGCTGACTGCCGGGCTTCCTGCAGCCCCCGACTTACAGACCCCTCCCCTGGGCAGCCTTCCCGGACGCCCCTCCACACTCGGGGCCGGGCGTGCTCTGGGCTCCCCACGCCCCGGTGCACCCCTATCCGGAACTGCTCACTCACAGTCCATTCCAGCTGCCTGTCCCCTTCCAGACTCTAATGTCCCTGAAAGGGACGGCAGCGTCTGTCTGGTTCTCGTCTGGTCTGGTCCCTGGTGCTGCGCCGGGCACGCAGTTGGAGGTCACAGCTATTGGTTGAATGAATGAACGTTGCTGCTGCTCGAGCCCTGCTGCCTTCAGCCCAGAGCTCTGAGAAACGGGCTGTTACTTTGATTTCCAAGGCTGGGGCCTCACTAGGGCGGTCACCTGCCTCATGTCCACCGGAGTTGTGCCAGGCCACAGGCACAGTCCTGCCAGCAGCCGAGAGACTTGCCGCCTCTTCTCGTCCCTTTGAAGGGAGCTGCCCACCCAGGCCAATCCCTCTGGTGATCCTTTGAGGCTGTTGCCTCGTCCTCCAGGTCCTCTGGCCGCCGGCCCGTGCCACCATCCTCACCGGTTGCTCCTCGTGGCCATCGCCCTGGCTGGCTGTGCTCGCGCCGGCTCTCTTCCTGCGTCACGACATCCTGTAGTAACGTGAAATCAGCCATGGGGGGAATATTTGCACCATGGAAACTGGCAAATGCTACACAGCCGGGCTTTGTCACTGCTGCTGTCCAGAGAGCTGGGCCAGCAGCCCACTGGGGTCCACTCTGCCAGCAACTGCAGCACCTGCTCAATGTCCTTGGGCTTTGCCACCCGCGTTCCGGACCCAGCGTGGCCAAGCTCCTCTCGTTCAGGTGGAATCCAGTTATACGGGTCCCCAGCCCTAACCACCCAGACAGCGAGTGAGGGACGAAATCGTGACTCCTGCCCTGGGCCTGGTCTCCAGCAAAAGTAACAACCACAAGCCCCTCTGCCCAGCCAGCTCAGATGCCATCCTGAGATGGGCACTTCTGGCCTCTGCCCCCTGCTCAGAGCACGTCCCCAGCCCTCACCTGCAGCTGGGCCGCGGTGTGAGTGCTCGCCCAGGGGACCCGTCTTTCCCGTGGTCTCAGTGATGCCCAGCGGGCGGCCGTGGCCCCCCACTCCTCAGCCACACAATGTCACCGCTGCTCTCTGACCTGCTTGGTCACCCAGCCTGACGGCCTGGGACCCAGAGCCCTTACTTTTTCTTTTTAAAGGATGATTATTGATTATTTTACCTATTATTTTAATACAATTGACCCTTTAACAACATTGGGGTTAGGGGCACCGACCCGTTGCACAGTTGGAAATTTGCATATAACTTTTGACTCTCCCAAAACTTAACTACTAACAGCTGCCGTTGATCAGAAGCCTCACATAGACAGCCAATTAACACATGTTTTATATGTTATATGTATTATTACTATAATACATGTAGTATTATAGTATATTACATAATAATACATATTACATAATAATTACATATAATACATATATTATCTTATAATAAAGTAAGCCAGAGAAAAGCAAATGTTATTAAGAAAAATCATAAGGAAGAGAACATATATTTGCTACTCATTACATGGAAGTGGATCATTATAAAGGTCTTCAACCTCGTCGTCTTCATGTCGAGTAGGAGGAGGAGGAGGAGGAGGAAGAGGAGGGGTTGGTCTTGCCATCTCAGGGGTGGCAGATGTGAAGGAGGTGGAAGGGGAGGTAAGAGGGGCAGGCACGCTGGTGTGACTTTTCTTGAAAAAAATTCACATATAAGTGGACCCCTGCAGTTCAAACCCATGTTGCTCAAGGGTCAACTGTAGTTATATTAATAATTAATACTTAATTTAAATGAATCAATACTTTACAAGGCATTACTAATCGGTTATTTTTATTGTCGTCCCGCCTCCATTCTATTCATGCGGACACATACGTAGGTAATGGGCTCTCCAAGAGCAGACCCTGATAATTAGAAAATTCTACTGTCCTTTTAAAGCAGTCAGTAGTTCTCAGATTTATCCTGGGAAAAGGGGCAGTTGCTGTTTGGGTTTGGTGACACACACACTGGTGGCCTTTCGCTCACACAAAGCTCTTGTGTTCTAGAACGAAGAGGCCGGACAAAGAGAAGCCAAATGGACCTGCGGCCTGTTGACCAAGGCTGTTGTCTGTGCGGGCGGTTTCGTCACGAGAGGAGGTTTGTGTGTGGCCCAGGGGCAGACCTAACGCCGGAGGCTTAAAGGTTTGTTCTCAGCCCCAACCCGCTCCTGACTGCTAAGCCTTAGGCATTCATTCATTCATTCATTCATTCATTCATTAGTGCCACAGACCCGGTCCTGGTACAGGAGATTCAGTGGTCAACAGGCTAGTCAAGGAGTCCTGTCCTCATGGAGATTATAGTCTGATGGTAGAGACAGACAAAAATCAAGTCAATAAACAAAAATAATTACCAAATAAGTATATACCTATTGGCCATTTTTATATTGTCTTCGGAGAAATGTCTGTTCATGTCCTTTGTTCAGTTCTCATGGAGTTGTTTTTCTGCTATTAGAGTTGTAAGAAGTCTTTATACATTTAGATATTAACCCCTTATCAAATATGTGGTTTGCAATTATTTTTTCTCCAGTCTGTAAGTTGGCCATTCGTTCTGTTGATTGTTTCCTTTGCTGTGCAGAAGCTTTTCGGTTCGATGTGCTCCATTTATTTACTTTTGCTTGTATGCCTGAGCTTTGACGTGATATCCAAAAACTCATTGCCAAGGCCAATGCCGAGGGGCTTTTCCCCTCTGTTCTCTTCCAGGAGTTTTATAGTTTCAGGTCTTACATTTAGGTATTTTTTCCATTTTGAGTTGATTTTTGTGTATGGTATAAGGTAAGGATCCAATTTCATTCTTTTGCATGTGGAAATCCGAATTTCTTAGTACTATTTATTAAAGAGATTATTTATTCCCCATTGTATCCTCTTGTTGAAAATTGGTTAACCATGTATATTTAGATTTATTTCTGGACTCTCTATTCTGTTCCTTTGGTCCACATTTCTGTTTTTATACCCGCATCATACTGTTCTGATTACTATAGCTCTGTAATATAATTTTAAATCAGGAAGCGTGATGCCTCCAATTTAGTTTTCTTTCTCAGTATTGCTTTGGTTATTTGGGGGTTTTTTGTGGTTCCACATGAATTTTAGGATTCTTTCTTCTATTTCTATGAAAATGCCATTGGAATTCTTTTTTTTTTTTTTGAGGCAAATAATGACCTCACCAAAATAGAAATCACCTAGCCAAAGAAGAAATCAAGAATACAGTCCCATTTGTAATAGCATAAAAAATAACTAAGAATAAATTTAACCATACAGTAAAAGATTTATATACTGATAACTAAATAACATTGATTAAAGAAGTTGAAGAAGACACAAGTAAATGGAAAGACAGTTCATGTTCATGGACAGGAGCAAATAATATTGTTAAAATGTCCATGCTACACAAATCAGTGTGCAGATATAATGCAATGAAGTCAGGAGGTTTTTAAATTGCAAGTAAAAGAAACTCCCTCAAAGCAGCTCAAGAAGAGAAGGGGACTTATTGGTAGGAAGGCCCCAGGGATTCTAAGCAGGACATGCAGAAGTCTCAGGAAGGCAAGGATAGGGACCTGGAAAGTTGTCAGGAGACCTGGAGGTAGCATCTTAGGCTTCTTGTCACTATTTGTCCCTCTCTTTTTGATTCCTTCCTCCTTATCTTCCTTCCTTCCTCCCTCTCTCTTTCATCTCTCTCTCTCTTCCTCTCACTGTCATTCTGCTCCAGTCTCTCTCTCTCTCCTTGTCCACTATCTCTCCCACCTGACTGTCCCTTTCTGTTTTGTCTCTCCCTATCTCTGTCTCTCTCTCCCCCATGAGCACATTTCAACCTCTCTATGATTGAGTCTTTTGTCTGCCATTTTAGGAGCCTGTGGCCAAATACAGCCAGCCCGACCCAGCTGTATGTCCCAATAACCAGCCTAGAAGGCAGCCCAGCATCTCTGAACCTCAATGCCAAAGTCCCAGGAGAGAGATGCTGGTTGGCCCAGCTTGAATCAGCGTCCACTCCTCGTCCAACCAGCTGTCGTCAGGGGAGCAGAGAGGTAGGGAACAAATATGCCCCTGAGGCTCGGCCAGGCGAGAGGTCTCAGAAAAGGGAGGTCGAGGGCTGGCCAGGAGCACAAAGGATGCCCCCTCACACCCGCCCACCCATTTGGATTCGATGAGAGATTAGTCTGAGCTGAATCAAGCTGCAGGCCCCTGTCCATTTGGCCATGGTCATCTGGACTGTTGGCTGGGCCCCTTCCCTTCATCTCTGCACGTGTTACTTCCCCTCCCGGAGCCTCTGCTTCCTCATTTGTGAATGATGATATCAGTTCCTCCCAGAAGGTGATTGTAAGACCCCACTTGAGGTCACGTGGGCAGAGGGCTCAAGGCCTTGCTGGTCACAGTGACCATGACACACCTGAGCTTCCTAAACTCCTAAGTTCCTGGTCCTCCTCTGCCTACCCCTCTGCGTCCTTCTTCCTCTCCTGCCACCACCAATCTTCCCCCACCGCCACTGTGGCTTCAGGACACTTGTGGTCACACCTGATGGGATCCACCCCCACCCCTGCTCACATATTGCTAATTTGGGGCACACACACTGAGGGGCCTGGGTTGAGCTGTGGAAACCATAAACTCTGACGTCTTCTTGGTTCACTGAGCCTCCGTGGTCATCCTGGCTTGTGGGCCAGTCATCGTGCTGCAGCCCCAGCCTGAATCGGGTGGAGGACGCCCAGCAGCAAAGGAAAGAAGCAGGGAGGGAAGTGGGGAAACCAGCATCTGTAGGACATTGGACACCCCAGATGCTCCTAGGGGTCTCCTGGTCCCCACGCACTGTGGACAGAAGTGGCTATGATGGTAAGTTTCCTGTCGTTTTCTCATCCATTGAACAAATGTTCCCAACTGCCCACTGTCTTCTGACTAGGGGCTGGGCACTGGACTCAGAGATGCAGCAGGTGTGAGTGCTGAACTTGGGAACCCAGTTCAGCCCACGACCTAAGGCTGAGCAGGCCTCACCACCACCCTGTGGGTGCAAAAAGACCACAAGGAGATGAATCTGTAGTGCCCCAGCCCCAAGGCTCCTCCTTGCCCCAGAGCCCCAGTCCCCCATAAGCCCCCCACCTTCCACCCCTATGAGAGAGTTTTGGTTGGCCCCAAATGGCATCTTGGCTGCATTGGCTTCAGTTGGCCTCTGCCTCCCTGGTGTGCCGCAGTCCTCTCCAGGCCCCGCCAGGCACCTTGGCTGGCCCCTGAGCCCTTGCTCAGCCTTTGCTGTACCGGCCTCTGCTCTGCACAGACCTTGACTTGACCTTGGCCCAACATCAGACCCTGACTGACCGCTCCAGCCCCTGAGGCTCGGGCAGCTCCCGGGTCTGTGACCAAAGGCTTTAGGCTCAGTCAGGAGGTTCCTACTTGGAGGGGCTTAAGCCCAGGCGATGCAGAAGTTGATGAAGCTGCTCTCTGGGCTTAAAAACCCACAACAGCTTTCTCCCTTGGGTGCAGCGCACACCTCACCGGGAGAGTGGCAGTGGGGGGGTCTTCAGGTTCTGGCCACTGCCTCAAATCTGGAACTCTCCATTCTGCTCAGGCCCTGTTGCTTGCTCCAGCATCTGTATTTTCTCATGGTGATTCTCCCCAGGAGTCACCCACCCTGCCCCCGGCCCAGCTTCCGGCTCAGCTGCACGTAGCAGAAACCCCAGTTCAACGGGTGGACGTCCCTATCTCCCAGGTGAGAGAGCTGAAGGTGGCAGGGCTGCTCTGGGCGGGTTATGCCTGCAGCTCTGTGACAGGCTGCAGTGTGGGCCAGCAAATACTCACTGGCCTCCCCTTGCCCAGTGAGTATCCGTCCCCAGTGCTGTGCTGGCCTCGGCCACGTGACTCTCATCGGCCACTGGAACGTGAGCTGAGGTCTCAAACATGCTCATGAGAGTCGGCTCGGCCTCTTGCCCTCCTGTGATCCGCGTGAGCAGAATCCTCCCAGTCGCTGTGGTCCCTTCAGCCCGGGCCCCAGAATTAACACACTGGGAACAGACCAGAACCCAACCTGCAGGCTGACACAGAGCGGCCCAGCCCAGGCTGGATTAGCTAAGCCATGTTGACGTGCCGACCTGTGACCTGGGAGCGAGAGACGTGCCTGATGTCAGTCCCTGAGTTCTGGGGAGGGTTGTGTCACCTGCTACTGTTGCAATCACTGACTAGCACGGGTGCTCCTTGTGGGCCCACTTTGCCCGCAGGCCTGGCCCCAGAGGTCACAGATGGCTGCGGCAGGGAAGGGAGTTATGTCCTCACATGGTCACATACAGAAGCGGGCAGTGCTCCCAGGGACACTTCCCTCTGCCGCATAGATGCCTCCCTCTGTCTAAGGGGCAGAGTCACGTCACAAGCCTGTCCCTGTTTCCTAATTGACCACCAGCGAGAGGGATAGAATCATCGTGTCTGGTTCACATCGGTGCACATTCGCTCCCTCCTCGTGGTGGTGAAGGGGCCCGTAATCACAGGGGTGCCCAGCGGTCACCCCAAATAAGATTCCATCGGCCAGGACAGGGGTGGATCAGGGCGATCGAGTGGGAACCCGCAGGGTTGGCCACGGACTCCTGCCGCCCCGGGAGACTTGGGATCAGACATCGTGCTTGTGACACGCATCACGTGCACACACGTGGGGACAGTGCTGCGATTCCTGCTCCCCTGAGACTCCGGCGGGTGCTCTCTGTGCGGGTCCCTCGGGCCGCGGCGGACCGCCGGGTTTTTAGTAGCAGAACCGTTTTGAAAAATAAAACATAGAACAGATAAAGACAGAGGTGGTCTGGTCCACAGGGGTACGCGGTGGGGGCGGGGGTCCACGCCCAGTTTGCCCGGCCTCCCCCTTCTCCCTCCCGCGGAGCCGAAGTCAGTCGGGGAATCTTTGGGGAGAAAGCAGAAGGTCGACATCCTTTATGCCCATTTTGAAGATAAATGAAGTGACTGCCTGAGGCCATACAAGGAGCATGGAGCTAAGATTAGAAACTACACGTCTGCCTCCAAAACCTGTTTTTGTGTGTCACAGAGTGTCACAGAGCGGAGGGCTGGCCCCGGCAGGGTGTTTGGAAAGAGCACCCATGCTGGAGCCACATGGGGATTTTCTCAGAGGCCTGGGTTTGGGTTCCTGCCGTGGCTGTAACTTGCTGCGTGGCCCTGGGCCAGTCTCTTAACCTCTCTTGGTCTCAGTTTCCTCACCTGCAAAACTAGCCCTTGGGTCCTCACAGCTGCGACATTCTGGAACCTAAATTTAGCCCCCTCCAGCTGGCCCGGGAGGACGGGCAAGGCTCCCGGTCAAGCGACAGGACCAGTGCTGAAGGGCCGGGCCTCCGAGGGAGGAAGTGAAACTGGAGGCCTCTGTACCCCCACCCCCACATGCCACCATCTGACCCGATTGAAACCCAGCCCGGGGTGCCCCCCCCAGTGACTCAGCCCCTTGCCCTGTCTGATTGTCAAAGTCAATTCCTAGAAGCTGAAGAGAAGCTGTTTTTCCGCTTACGCTGCCGTCACCGCCACCTCCCACCACGAGGCGAGCTCTAATTCTGTCCCTTGACCACAAGTCGGGAGGAAGGCAGAGGCCGCACAAGGGGCTTTCAGGGAGAAGTCTGGGTTGGAGGCCGGGCAATGCCAGAAGGGGCGAGAGAAACAGGGGACCGTCCTTGTCATGGGTAGAAATGCCATGTGCGGGCCGGGCGCGGTGGCTCACGCCTGTAATCCTAGCTCTCTGGGAGGCCGAGACAGGCGGATAGCTCGAAGTCAGGAGTTCAAAACCAGCCTGAGCAAGAGCAAGACCTCATCTCTACTATAAGTAAAAAGGAATTAACTGGCCAACTAATATCTATAGAAAAAATTGGCCGGGCATGGTGGCGCATGCCTGTAGTCCCAGCTACTCGGGAGGCTAAGGCAGTAGGACTGCTTGAGCCCAGGAGTCTGAGGTTGCTGTGAGCTAGGCTGAAGCCATGGCACTCACTCTAGCCTGGGCAACAAAATGAGACTCTATCTCAAAAAAAAAGAAATGCCATGTGCAAAGTGGGGGCGGGGGTCAAGTGCCACTTCTCAGCTGTGTGACCTTGGGCACATTACATTGTCTCTCTTTGCCCTGGTTGTATGCACAATAAACAGGGGAGCCCTCCTTCCCCAGTTCGGTTCTCCAAGATAACCACTGCTCGAGGCTCAGGGTAGCAAATGCAAACCAGAAGAGACAGAGATGAAGATGAAATCGAGAGACTGGGTTGACTGGGACAGCGATAATATTTCTGAACACCACGTGGGATCATACTGTCCTGCAAGGCAGTGTGGAACAGGCTTGACGGTGCAGGTTCTGCTCTGAAGAACTTGGCTTTGAAGCATTTTCTATCTCCTTCGTTGACCTTCAAGAGGATATAAGCTCCACGAGAGCAAGAGCTTTGCCTGTCCTGCCCAGCAAGGACAGGAACTAGGCCTGTCAAGACAGCCCAGCCCCTGAACGTGTGCTTGGCAACACAGGCACTTAGGCGGAGAAGCCGTAGGCCTGGCCTCCGTCCCATAACAAGGTAAGTCAGCAGATAAGTGACAGCATGCATGGGCTGCAATAGCACCTCCTGCCATGTCTCCGTAAAATGAATGTGTCAGCTGCTTCACTTCTGCCTTCCAAGTCGCACTCACGACCCCAGAGCTCTGCAGGGAAGGGGTCTGGGAAACTAGTTTCAGCTTAGCTAAGTTGCCACAATACAAATCCACCTCAATTCAGATGACCAAGATCCCTTCAGATTATGCTGGGACAGAGAACAGGAGAGTTAACACAGTCTGGAGTTAGGACGATGAACGTGGACTGTCAGCCCCTGGTGAATACGAACTGCTTCTGACCCTCCTTTCTGGTGGGGACAGAAAACAACACATGTACAGATCGATGGCCACACACTAGGTGCCAGAGGCTGTGGCTCTGTCTATTAGGACACCACGTCAGCACAGCAGCTGTGATTGGTCCTACTACTTAGTTAAATTTGCCGTCATTTACCATCCTCTGCCGCGATCCTCTGGGTTTTTGCAAAGGCTCCCTTGGTGACTTAATGGGGGTCTGAGAGGAACCACCACTCCTGCACCCTGGGAGTCTTGGAGGCTGGCTCTGATCTCTGCTCCCCCTTCTAATGTGTGGTGTCACTTCTGATTCACCCTCTTGGCTGGGGGGGCAGTCCCCCCCCACCGCATCCACCTCCCTGAGCCTTTTGGTTCCTTCCTCCCGACTCTGCCTCGGCAGTCTTGTCATCTCCACCTCATTTACTGTAGACTGTCTTCCTGTCCACGCCTCCAGCAGCCATCCCTGTGGCATAATAGGATGGGCTCAGGGCTCCTGCGTCACGGGACAGGGCCCCGCACTCAGCCTCATGTCCACTCTGCTTCACACTGGACCCCGCGGCCACTCCCAGGGCGTGCTCCCGCCCCTGCCAGTGCACGCTAGCCAGCTGCTGCATCTCCGTCATCTCCTCCTGCCAAAGAAAGCCCAGACCCCGCTAAGACCTGACCCTGGCCGTTGGTCTGAAGAGCCATCAGGAGAAATGGGGAGGTTGTGGGAATCCGTATTTTCTGGAGAAGCGTCCACCCACCGAGGGGAGGCTGCTCTCTAGCGGAGAGGAGGACGGCCACTTCTGCCGTCCAGACTTTCAGAGGAATCTGAGGTTCGGGTTCAGCAGGAGTATCCACACAAATGTTCCCCTCCCAGGGCTCAGGGTCCCAGTCTTTTCCTCTTGGTGCCATGATTTCTGCAAAGATATCTTTCTGGGCCTAAGTTTAGCCCCTTGTGTACTGCTGCTACTCTTTTTTTTTTTTTTTTTTTTTTAAACAGAGTCTCACTCCGTTGCCTGGGCAAGAGTGCCGTGGCATCAGCCTAGCTCACAGCAACCTCAAACTCCTGGGCTCAGGCGATCCTCCTGCCTCAGCCTCCGAGTAGCTGGGACTACAGGCATGCGCCACCATGCCGGGCTATTTTTTTTTATGTATATTAGTTGGCCAATTAATTTCTTTCTATTTATAGTAGAGACGGGGTCTCGCTCTTGCTCAGGTTGGTTTCGAACTCCTGAGCTCAAATGATCCTCCCGCCTCGGCCTCTCAGAGTGCTAGGATTACAGGCGTGAGCCACCGCACCTGGCCTTGCTGCTACTCTTTCAATCAGATCTTGGGTCTGATTTTCAACCCCGTCGTCCTCCAGCTTCAGGAGGTAAGGGTGTGTCTAAGTGCTGCCCCGGCAGCCTTCCCACCTTCACACTGGGCATAAGTTGCTAGCTGGCTGACCTCAGCCTGTCATTTTCTTTCTCTGGGGCTTTAATTGCAGCTAACCTTAGCCAAAGGACTCTGCAATCCTTAGAGTTACTGTTGCTCCCCTAGCGCTCAAGTGCCAGGGCCACTGGACACACCAGTGCATCTCCTTCCACCTCCAAATCTTCCCAGTCCACTGGGATGAGGCCACAGCACACCAGGGGCCACCACTGCTCCACCCGTTACCACCCATGTGGCTCCCATTGCTACCTTGAGTGATCAATAATGTTGATGAAATAAAATCAGAGATCCAGTCATCACGCTCCTTGGAATTTACCCAGATGACCTGTGAGTGATGCCGTTCCACAAGCCCATCCTGAGACTCCACCTCCCGGGACCGTTTGCAATGCCAACCATCATCGGTTATGTTCCCCACAAGCAGATCCTGAGACAGAGATTGAGTATAAGTAGTTAGTTTATTTTAAAGCTGATCCCAGGAAACAGCAATAGGGGATGAAGAAGTGACACAAAGAAGGAAAAGCAATAGTTTATGTTAACAAGCAAGCTCCCACTGTGGGCAACTGAGGCTCCATCTCAACAGAGAACCGGCAGAATAGAACATGGCCTGGAGCTGTCCTACCCCAGGGGCAAGGGAGCTGGTGTATTAATCTCCCACCCTGTGCGCCTTTGGCTGAGTGCTATTTCCAAGGGCGTCAACAATCCCGTGCTTTTGGCCTCAGCCAACCAACTCTGCCACATGACGAAGAGGAACCACTCGGACTGAAAGTCACAGGTGCAAAGTAGGGCACTGTCAGTGTGCCCTGGATAAGCAAGTGCCCAGGGGTGCTGGGGGTGCCACTGTCTGCTGCAGCAGGTCTGGTGAGAGTACAAGACATGCATGCACTGAAATTATTAAAGAATAAAAGTAGCTAAGTTCCTAAGAGCTTACTATGTTTAAGCACTTTACATGCTATTAACTCATTCCATCTTCATAACAACCCTGTTAGGTGACTACTATTAGGATCCCCATTTTACAGATGAGGAAACTGAGACACTGAGATTCTAAGCCACTTGCCCAACATCCCTCAGTAAATCATGATTCTTTAAGCTCCGTGGGGGCTGTTCTCTGTTCCCGGTTTTGTTCACCAATGTATATGTTTGTATTTAACGGACATATTACATGAGTGATGAGGTATGTGCAGTGAGTTCCTTGGGGACAGGAACTGGCTCTTGTGGTCTTGGGATCCAGGGCACTCAATGGGAATAAATGATTGAATAAATGAGTGTGAATGACTTAGGAAGAGGCCAAGAACTGGAAGTGTCTTCCTCTGCCACAAATAACCGTGTGACCTTGGGTACGTTCCCCTCCCTGGCTTGGCTTCAGTCCCCCACTCTGTAAACAGCCCGCACCCCTCTCACTTGCCTCCTACCCCGTGTTCAGGTAACACCACTCCTGTAACTGTCAGATTCTCACGGAGACGCCAGTCCACTGCCCTGCTCCGGTCTCACCATCCGTTGATCCCCTCCTGGCTTCGTTCCTGTCCTTGATGAGCTCAGTTATCACTTCATCATCTTCCTCTGGCATATGAGCTTCCCAGGGTGGCCTAAAACAAACTCTGGGTGTCAGCAGGGCTGCCCTCCCTCCCGGGTCTCTAGGAGAATCCGACCTTCTCTCTTCCAGTTTCTTCTGCTCCTCAGCTTGTGGCTGGGCCTCCATCTCCACGTGACCGTTTCCTCTCTGCGTCTTCTCTCTTCTGTCGTTGGATTCAGGGTCCACCTGGATAATCCAGGACCCTCTCATCTCCAGATCCGTAACTTAACTACATTTGCAAAGATGTCTTTTCCAAATAAGGTCGCATTCACAGGTTCCGGGGGTGAGGATACGGACATATCTTTGGGGGGCACCAGTCAACCCACGACACCTTGTTGAATCCCGGATTCTGGCTGCCCGTGCCACCTCACACAAGTGGGTAGTGCTGGAGAAAGTCCCACAACCAAGCTGCCAGGCTTCGTGACCACAGACGTCAGATGGCCACCTCTGTGTTTGCCCCACAAAGCCCTCTGCGTTTCTCTTTGCTGGGGTGACATTTCCTATCTATTTGCTTTTCAAGCTTACCAGCCCCTTGGCACCCCATCTCTCCCAGTAGATAACTTGCCCTCAACACCACTGATGCCGAGAGACGTGGCTGCCTTCTCAGTCTCACGCCATCCCGTGGACCTATCACATCTGCCTTTGCTGCCCCCTCCCAACACCCAGGGGACACGTCTGTCCCTTCTCCTTTCAGAGGCCAGTCTCACCATCGTGCTCTTGAGCTGCTTCCTTCCCGCCTTTTCAGGGCTTGAATGCTACTGCCGTCTCCTCTTTCTACCACTCCCCACCTCACTGGTCCATTCCCACCAGCGACCTATGAGACCTGCATCCTGACAAATCCCTGCCTGGGGTCCCCTTCCTTCCTCCCTCCTCCCACCTTCCCGTCCCTGGCCCAGCCCAGATGGCCTGATTCCTCTGAGCCGTCCCAGGGTTCCAGGGAGGCGCTGCAGGAGCGGAGGCCTCCGGGCTCTGCAGGAACATGTGCCTCTGTCCAAGCTGGGCTCTTCCTGTGTGGGCCACCCAGACTCCCTGTTCTATGGCTCCAGACGGAAGATCAGCTTCTCTTCCTTTGGGGGCTCCATTTTGGGACACACCTCTTGACTCTTGGTTTAGGCCTAATTTTGGCTAATTCAAAGTGATTGGAGCGGGATTAGGACAAATACACCAGCGAGGACCAGCTGCAAGTGGTTTGATTCTGCACCAGTCACTGGGTCACTGCACTCAGGTTCCGCTGATCCAGTGTGGCGGAAACCAGGCCCCTGAGAGCCCAGGACCGGCACAGGCAGGGAGTCCCCGAGACAGGATGGAGTTTGAGTCCGTTCAAACCTGTTTGCTGGTCCCATGTGGCGCTCTGAAGAGGGCAGGGAGGTGGGATGGGGTGGGGGGAGCACTATAAATGTTTGCTTGGAAAAAAAGTCAAAGTATTTGGAAACCACTGGGAGGATGATTGCTACGATGTCTCCAGCTCCACGCTCTGTGGTTTTAAATGCTAAGGAAAAGGCGGTGCAGACCACCATCCAATTTTTTTTATTATTTTTAAAACTTTAATTTTTTAATTTTAATTTTCGCTTTTTAAAGACTTTATTTTTAGAGCAGTTTTAGGCTTCCAAGAAATGACCCAGAAAGTACAGAGAATCCCCACGTAATGGCCAACCCCCGTTTCCCGTTACCAACACCTTGCCTTCCTGTGCCGCGTTTGTTACAATCTGTGAGCGATATTAACATATCGCTATTAACTAAGGCTCGTAGTTTACCTTATGATTAACTGTAGCTCCTGCAACACAAATGTACAATGTGTGGTGAGTAATGTATGTTAACGTATGATGACGTGCACTTACCATTGCAGTACCATGCAAAATAGATTCGCTGCCCTAAAAATCCCCTGTGCTCCACCTACTCGTCCCCTCTCTCCCCCACCCCCAGCCTCGGCAACCACTGATCTTTTTCACCCTCTATGGTTTTGACTTTTCCAGAATGTCACATAGTTGGAATCATACAGTATGTGATGTATGATTGGCTTCTTTCACTTAGTAATATACATTTAAGGTTTCTCCATGTCTTTTCGTGGCTTAATAACTCATTTCTTTTTTTTTTTATTGTGGTAAAATATACGGAACATACAATTTTCCATTTTGACCATTTTTAAGTGTACGGTTCAGTGGTATTAAGTACACTCACATTATTGTGCAACCATCACCACCATCCATCTCCCAGACTGAAATTCCATACCCATCAACACCACGCTCATTCCTACCGCCAGTTTCTTTTCATCACTGAATAACGTTCCGTTGTCTGGCTGTGCTATGGTTTGTATATCCAATCGCCTATTTCTTTTTTTTTTTTTTTTTTTTTTGAGACAGAGTCTTGCTTTGTTGCCCAGGCTAGAGTGAGTGCTGTGGCATCAGCCTAGCTCACAGCAACCTCAATCTCCTGGGCTCAAGCAATCCTCCTGCCTCAGCCTCCTGAGTAGCTGGGACTACAGGCATGCGCCACCATGCCTGGCTAATTTTATATATATATATATATATATATATATGTACATATGTATATATGTACATATATATATATATATATATATGTTGGCCAATTAATTTCTTTTTATTTATAGTAGAGATGGGGTCTCGCTCTTGCCCGGGCTGGTTTTGAACTCCTGACCTCGAGCAATCCGCCCGCCTCAGCCTCCCAGAGAGCTAGGATTACAGGCGTGAGCCACCGCGCTCGGCCTCCAATCGCCTATTGAAGGACATCTGTGTTGCTTCCACATTTTGCCCATTATGAGGAAAGCCACTATAAACATTTGTGTGCAGGTTTTTGTGTCGACGTAGGTTTTAAGTCATCTGGGTAAATTCCAAGGAGCGTGATTACTGGATCTCTGATTTTATTTCATCAACATTATTTTGAGCACCTGGAGTGAGGGACAAGCCAGGCCCAACACTCTATGTGCATTACCTTATTTAATTGCCACAATAACCCTGGAAACGGGTGCTGTTATCCCCAAATTACAGATGAGCAAACTGAGCCTCCAGGAAGTGAAAAGACTTGCCCCTGCTCACACACTCACCAACTGGCAGAGCCAGGATGCCAGTCCAGGCTTTCAGGTTTAGAGAAACATGCGTGACTGGAGTTGGGGGCAAAGAGATTATTTCTAGTTTTTTTATTTTCCATTCAGTTCTGTTTTGTTCCTTTTCTCCATTTGACAAAACAAATTTGTTTTCCGATCTGATTGTTCTCAAAGGAATGTCCTTTCCGGTCACTCTCTGTTTAATTGGAATAACCCTCTGACTCAGGAACGACCTACTTTTGGCTGAGAAAGGAGCCTCCCCACCCCCGCATCTCTTGTGAACCCCCTCTCTCACCCAGCCACACCTCTGGACTCACTTGGAAACAACTCCTGGTTGTGGAAAAACATCTTGGAGAGGACAATCCCCTTCTCTTATGGGACCTTCTCCCCGTTGTGTCCCCAGTCCTTGGGGAGGCCAGGAGGGGTGGCACGTGCAGGGAAGAAACCTCCTTGGGTGGTTTTCACTGTGGTCTGTAGTGTACGTACATGGGCAACAGAGCCGAAGTTCACGGGCCCATGTCACCCTGAAATGCCACCAGGAACAGCACTGGGCCCACCCACGCCAGCAGCTCGGCTTCCGAGCCCCGCAGCCCCCCGGACGGCCTCCCTTCCCTTCCCCTCCCGGCCGCCCCTCCATCCCCAAGCCCCCTTAAGTACCAATAATGGAAGTGCTTACCAGGGCCCGCAACAATTCACCCTTATCTTTTATTTATAGCTGACAAAGCTCCAAGCAGGAAAAATATAATCACACTTTAAATAATGGAAGTTGTAGGTATTAGAGCTGCACGGGCAGTTACCGGAGGTGCGGCGATGTCTCCCTGCAGACCTGACGGGGCGCATGCCGACTGCATTTTTAATTTTTAAAACATATTTCTTCCCAAATTATTCTGCGTTACCGAGGAGCCACATTTATGGGGGTGATAAATTACTGTAATAAAGTGCCTCTTCCTCAAATATATAGGAGGAAGCCGTGTTGAGCACAGCCCGGCACAGGCGGCCCCGAGAGAGTGGCGAGAAGTCCCACTGCCTCACCCCTCGCTTTAATTATTGGGCCGATGTGTCCTGCATTTTTAACACAGTCGCAAGTTTCCGGTAAGCAAAGAATTCAAACCGGCCACTAATTTCTATTCGTGTGCGCCAGTGCGTAGTGCCCGTGCGTGTGGCCTTGGGCAGTGAGACATACGTGATTGCAAACGTGTCATGTGCGTGCATGTGCAGCCTGTGATTGTGCACGCATGTTTGTGCCTGTTTACATGTGCAACCAGGTAGGGGGCAGCTTGTGGATGCTCAGATTTGTGCACAGGTATATGAAAAAAAATCCCTGCATGTATCGGGCATGCACATATGTGGATTTGTGCATGTTAGAGCACACTGGTGTGGAAGTGTGTGTACAGGCGTGCTTTTCTATGCTGATCTGCCTTCTCCCAGACCCTTGTGTGTGTTTGAATCCTTTTTTCTACATCAAACCAACTCCGCTGCTGCCTTCCCTCCTTCTCTGAACAGTGGAGCACAGAGGTTAAACCATAAGCTCTGAGCTCAGACTGGCTGAATTTAAATCTCAGCTCTGCCACTCTTGGCTGTACAACCTTGGGTGAGCCTTTTGGTGCCTCAGTTTCTCCATCTGTAAAATGGGGTTCATGTTAACAGTATTTACATCCTAGGGCTGCTGGGACGATTAATGGCTTTAATACATGGAAAGCACCTCACGTGTAGTGGGTCCACGCGTGAACTATTGTTCTTCCCACTGCATCTCTGTCTCCCTGGCCCCAGCACAGGGTCCAGCAGAGTGGGCACCTCGAACAGTTGCTGTCTGGACAAAGGCACGGATGGTTGGATGGAAGGAGATAGTGTCCACCCCATCTCTGGTGTCCACAAGTTGTGAGCCGCTTCTTTGGGAGGTGACCATACCAGGAAGTAGGAGAGAGGGAGTGGGGACAGTGTGACCAGGAAGAGAGGAACGACAACAGGGGGTGTGCGGACAAGCAGGCTCCTCAGTGGGCACTTGGAGCTCAGACCCACGGGGCCCACCGAGCGCAGCATGGAGCGTGCCTAGGCTGTCCTGCTGGCGCAGGCGGGCTGCTGTGTGTTGTCACCATTCACCAGCCCTCGTTGTGTGGGGACTTCTGGGGACATTTGCAGCCCTGGTGTTTCCAGGTTGCCCTGCGTGAGGCTGAGTGAGCTCCCGTGGTCCCAGAGAAAGCCCAGGCAGAGGCCTGGGTGGGAAGCTGTAGTGGGGAGTCCACGGCAGGGCAGGGGACGGGGGGGGGCCACGGGCAGTGTTGAACGTACAGACTCACAGATGGACGTGAGGGTGGACAGACACGTGGATGTGTGGACACTCCTGGCCACATACCTCAGGTTCACAAACTCCTGGTTCCTTTTCCTTCCCACAAACACCCCCTTTCCTGCCTCCTCAGCTTTGCACATGCTCTTCCCCGCACCTCTACCCTTCCACTGTGACCGACCTGGAAAATTCCTCCAGGAATCCGCTAGGGCACCTCTCGAACGCCGTCTCACGCACCAACCTTCCGGTCAAAAGGATTCCTTCCTCCCCTGTGGTCCCCGGAGGCTTCCCTTGAACCCCAAACCTCACACTCACTGGCCGCTGTCTGGTGTCATAATGACAGAGGTGCTGACACCTCTGTCCCCCACAGCCCCGGGCTCCTCAAGAACAAAGACCATGTCTGTGTCACAGCCACATCCCCAGTGCCCAGCACAGAGCCTGGCACACATTGGGTGCCTCAGTTTCCTCATCAGGTCGTTGTGAGTGCTCGATGAGTTGACACGTGTAGGTCGCCATATGTGGACCAGTGCCTGGCACTGGAAGCAGTAGACACGTGTTAGCCGTCATTGTCGTCCATGTGGCTCAGAATGCACATAGAAGACCTGGGCGGCAGCGGTGCCAGCTGCTATGGAGTGCCTACAACTGTCCCATAGCCGATGGGGACACGGGGCCTGGAAGGAAGAAGGGACTTGTAGGAGGTCACGCAGTGAGTTAGTGCCAGAGCTAGGCTCGAACCCGGGTCTCGCAGCTCCAAGACCAGCGCTCCTTGTCCTGCTTCGGGGAAGGGGTGCCAAGGGCTGGCCTGAGGTCAGGGCTGTTCCTCACCCGTGAGTGCTGTGGGCTGTGGCTCAGAGAATGGCTCGGTGCCTCTACGGGGGCTGCGGGCAGGGGCAGCTGTGGGTGGGGTGTCCAGGGATCGCTGCTAAAATAAGTGGTGGCTTCCTCTGAAACGCCTCTGCGGTCTGTGCAGGGGAAGGAAGTGGAGGCCTGGAAACCGGAGGGGGCAGGGGGTGAGTGGCTGAAACTTCCGCTCACTGCAGAGACCAAGCTGGGGCACCCCCCACCCACCCAGACACATGCTTGGCCCCAGCCAGGCTGCAGCCTTGGGGCCTGCGACCAGGAGGGCTGGGAAGCCCAGACCCAGCCCTAATATGGCCACTCAGGGGCCAAAGAACCCCTCTAGGCCCCCCTTGGCTGGGTTCCTTCCCCTTCCCAAAGCACTGGCCTTTTCAGATGCCATTCCCTTTGCCTGGAATGCCCTTCCCTACTTTCTCTTTATGACCCAACACCAATGTCCCCTCTTCCAGGAAGCCTTCCCTGACCACCCACCAGACACGCACACACACAGGCAGGATCAGGCACCCCCAGACCGTCCTCATAGATAGCAGTGCTCACTGTGACGGCCAGCATTTATTGGGTGCTTCGTGTTTACGGCATGCCAGAGACTGCTCTGCACAGACAATCTCATTGAATTTTTACGAAAACACAATGCAGTGGTTCTATCAATAGCTTCATTTTATAGGTGAGTAAACCAAGGCTCAGAGATGATGAGCAACTTCCCCAAGGTTGTGTAGTCAGACAACGGCTGAGTCGGGAGTGTAACCGGGGTCCGACTCCACAGCCGGGCTGTTTAACCAGGTGCCATCCTCTTAGACCGGAGTGTGCAACACCCCTCGCCAAGGAGGCTGCGCCGTGACACCAGACAAGCTGAACTTTCCGCCTTGCCCTGCCTGCCCCGGAGCGGCGGGGAGCTACACAGTCCCCCATGACTATGAGCTCCTCGAGGGCAGAGGAGCCCGGGTTTCTGTGCACACTAGGGACTGCTCGGTACGTAGGAGGCCAGGACACATTTGCTAAATGAGGGAATAAAGGAATGAATGAATGAATGAATAGGGGTCCCTTCAATGCCATCAGTAAGTGTGACAGGTACTATTCCAGCTTCAAAACTCCAAGTCCATCTCCCTGTGTACCAGCCCTGCCTAGGGGTTGGGGGTGAGGGACCATTTGGACAGGGCTCAGCTCAGCCCGGTGTCTGGCAAGGAGACTCGGAGCCCCTGCTGCCACCTGCCCTCTGCAGACGCAGCCCTCTGGCCCAACAGTCCCCCAGCAATGGCCCGAGCCCTCAGCGGGCCACAGCCACTCCCCAGGAGGAGGCTCTTTTCTGCAGCTGCAGCAAGTCAAACGCTGGCTCTGGAGAAGGAAGTGAAAGTGCCACTGCGAGTGAGTCATTGGAGGGTCCCCTGGGAGAGACTGCCGCCACGAGTGGCAAGGGTGGGGGAAGGCTGGGCAGGATAAGTAGCCTCCCAACCTCCTCCAAGAAGGCCTGACTTCACCTCCCAGCCCCTCCCCAGACATTGGGGTCTTCAGCTTGGAGAACAGAATGCCTGGGAGATGCCATCTCCACCCTGGGGTCTCTGGAGGGCTGCTGGGAGGGCAGAAATCAGGCGTGGCCCCCAGAAGCAATGGGAGATGGAGCCATGTGGGAGGTCATGGAGGCAACAGCCAGCCACGGGGCAGGGATATGACACAGTGGCAGCTGCCTGGCAGCACCATGCACTGGGCAGGGTGTGGCCCTGGATTTGAACCTCCCATCCTGGAACCCCAGCTCTGCCCCTCAGTAGCTGCAGGACCCAGGCAACTGGCTTCCCCTCTCCAAACCCTCTCGTTCCTCTTCTGCAAAGTGGAATCATGGCACCAACCCACAGCGTTAGCACGATGTGATTAAATACATTAACATGGACAGAGTGCATGGAAGAGTGCCCGGTCCAAGGAAACCTTCAGAGAGTGATGACTGCTAGATCAGGCAGGTCTCATCCAGAAAATGGAAATGCTCTAGGTTTCAAGCAGAGAGAATTTAATATGGGGGCCTGTCTTCCAACAGAACTGACAGACAAAAAACAGGAATGGTGCAGCCACCCAGAGATAAGACTTCTCAGTCGTAGCCTACTTCCTACTGGTGCCGTTCATTTAGTTGCTTTATCTCTCAGGGCCTCAATATTCTCATCTGTAAAATGGGGATCAAAATAACACATTTTGTTTTGCAGGATTGAATATGATACCGTATGTGAAGTGTTTGGTAGAGTGAGGGCTCGACAACACTCCTAGCAGATGTTCCTAGCAGATTCGTTGTTACCTCATTCTATGAAGCAGGTTCTACATCGTTACTGCTCCCATTTTACAGATGAGGAAATGGAGGCACAGAGGGATCAAGTCTCCCAATTAGTAAGTGGTAGGGCTGATTCGAGCCAACCTGTGGGGCTCCAAAGTCCTGCCCATGATCATTACAGGACGGTCCCAGTTTTACCATCAACTCTTCTCTTCCCAGCCAGCCTCAGCCGGGCCCAAAGCCTCTTTCCTTCTCAGAATTTTTCCAACCAGCACCTGCTCCATTTGCAACACCTGACACGAGACTAGCACCTTTCCCAGGCCTGAGGCCTTGGAGTCAAACCAGCCTGGATTTGAGCCTCGCTCTGCCATTTTCCAGAGAGTTTGGAGAAGCCACTTCCCTTCCTAAAGTCTCGGTTCCCTCAACTGCAGCATGGGGAGAGAGCTCGTCCTAACTTTGCTGGGCTGTGGTGGGGACAACATGAAGCCATGCTCGGGAGCGTGTGGCACTGGAAGGGTACGTGTGCTCAGTTCATCAGACTCTGATCGAAAGTCAATCACATCCACAGAGTCCTGGGGACGCTGCCAAGTGTTTCCTTGCTTTTCCCAACACGTTCTCGGCCCCTGGAGTGCGCAGCGTGGGTAAGTGCTGGGCATTCCTGTCTGTCTGCTGTACGACTGCCCTTCTCCTGCAGACGGCTTTTCCCAGGCTCCTTTGCCAACTGGCGTCCTGCTAGGTTGGGTCAACGGGAAGAGCTGGCAGAGATTGGGGGTGGGGGGAGGGGAGGTGGCAGGGTAGCCCCCCTCCCCGCCCCCTGCGTCATTTTCCCAGCACGGGCTGCTATCTTCTGTGTCTTGGGGGTCTATAGAACCACCCTTTCACCTGAGGTTCCAACTCCCCTGCATGGCTCCTGCCATGGTTCAAACTACCCCGGGCAGTGTCACTCCTTCCTGCTTTGTCTGTCCAGCCCTAGAGGGGCAGCAGCTTCTGCCATTGCTGAGTGACGAACTGCCTCAGCATTTGCTGTTTGGATTTTCAGCAAATCCCTCTTCCATGTAACCAAGTCCCTGTGTTAAATTTCCTCTGTTTGAAATACCTGGAGTGGTTTCTGGTTTTCTGACTAGCTGACTCTTACAGCAGCCATCTAGACTTTTCTTCTGCCCTAGAATTTCCTCCCTCTTTTCCATCCCCAGGGACTTTATCCTGGAGAGTCAGCGTCAGACCCCCAAGGTCACGTCACATGCAACTGACTGGAGGAGCCTCTAGCTCCTTCTAGCTCTTTGCAGTGAACTTCAAGACAGACAGAGCTTCCTCATGCTAACACCGACCGTCTCTTGTGGCACAGGTTGGGTGTCATTGCTATAGATGCTATGCTATCTCTTTACCTTGCCCTCCTGAAGCAGCAGCCGCACAAAGGGTGGGCAAAGCTGTTGAGAGTCAGGGGAGAGGAGAGCAGTGAAGAGGGCGGAGAACCCGCTCCTGCCACGCCAGCAGAGAGCCTGGCGCAGGGTAGGCGTTCAGCAGCTTCTGAGTCTCAGGCCCAAGCTTTGAATTTTGAAGCCAGCCTTAAGGGGAACGAAGGCCTGTTCCGAGCCAGGCAGCTTCCCCAGGGGCCTGCTCCTGAGAGGCATAGGAGGGGCAGACCCCTCCCGGTGAGCAGAGGGGCGGTGCTGCCTCCCACCCAGGGTCACTGGGACTCCTTCCCGGGGCTATTCACGAGTCCTCCCGCCTTGGCCTCCTCACTCCCATCTGCCCTTATAGGCCCTGGGCAGAGCTCACACCAGCCAGTCCCCTGCCTCCAGACCACAGCAGGGGCTGGCCAGATGGGAGGACCTTCCTGGGTCTACCTCATCCCAGGATCTAGGTCCTTGGCTTTGTCACGTCAAAGCTTCCCTGCCCCTAACCCAGGGACCAAGGTCATTTCTAGGCTTTCTGGGCTGTCGATTTCCCCATTTTTGCATGTTCTTTGGGTGCTGTACCCAAGCCACCACGAAGGTAGGAGGAGCCCAAGAACTCATTCAGGCCAACCTCACCCTCCGTGCTTCAGGTGGGGAAACTGAGGTTCAGTCAGAGACTTGCTGGAAGCATGAGAGTCATTGGCAAGTTGGCAGGGAGTGATGGGGGTGAAACCAAGGCTCCAGGGACATGTGTCCCACACCAGCACGTGGGTGTACAGCCATGTCACCTGCGCTCCCATGTACTAAAGAGGTCTTACACATTTACAAACCATCATACCACAAGCTAGCAACTGGGGCTCACACCTGCATAAACATTCACGTCCATGTGTACCCCCAGTGGTAGACATGTGCACCCGCCACTGTGCACACACATGGATTTATACCCACACCACACTCATCAGTACACAATCAGAGCCACACTCGTGCCCCACAGAATCCCACCCATGTGGACAATCTCACCTGTGTGCTCTGTGCTACATGTCCCATGACATGCATGCACGCAAACAGCTGACACACACGAATCAGTTCACCAAGGTGTCCTTGAACACAAGGATACACATCACACCCGCACAGCTTGTGTGTTCACCCCCACATGGACACAGAGCAGCATCTAGACAACCCTCCCGGATCACTCCTCTGCAGGTGACCACGGCTGCACACACAGCCTCCTGCCTGTGCCCTCCCGCACGGCTCACACACGCTGCCTGTCTGCGTTCGGACGCAGGCACACTCACCGCCACCCACCCAGAGTGCCACCTTGCCCAGTCTCCTCCACAGACCCCCACAGCCACTTGCTCCGACCCCTCCATGGTGGGACACCCCTCAAGGGAACTGGAGCCACCTGGCTATCCTTGGGACTAAGAGAGCACCCAGCCCACCCCTAGCTCTGTCCCTACATAAGGTGGCTTGGGTCCCAGGGGAGGGCAGAAGGCTGCCCAGAGCTCAAAGTCCGGAGGCCGAAGTCTTGTTTGCAGGTGCTGGGCGGAAGTTGCACAACCCGCCTCAGCCCGGGTGACACGGGTTTATGGTCTCTGGCTTCCCCTTGGCTGCAGGCCCAGGCCCAGCCAGCAACCTGCTTCTTGGGGAGAGGGTGGGGAAGGTGGCTTCTCTCCCCTACCTGGGGAACCGGTGGCCAAGGAAGGCCCCACCTGTTCCCTGCTATGTGTGCTGCATGCCCAACACTGAGGTGCACAAAGCCTAGAACCCAACCTCTCCTTTCCTGGATGGGAAACTGAGGCCAAAGAAAAGCAGGGGGATTTGCCCAGGGTCACCCCGCAAGCTGGAGGCCAGGCAGCACTGGTACCCAGGCTCAGTCTTTTCTCTAAGCCCTTTGTCAAAAGAAAGATCACTCTGAAGCCTGACAGTTCTAATGCAAATGAGCAGAGCTCCTCTGGGTGCAGAAGGAAGGGACCCCAGAGCCCGGGAGTAGGGACCACCCTTCTCACCCCATGCCCACCATGGCTGAGTCGGTTAATCAAAGGATCACTCTGCTGCATCACCAGCTCATTGAGCTTAGCAAATCTACGCCAACTTAAAAAATATATATTTTTTTAATTTGTGAAATTTTTCGGCTGGGTTTGGTGGCTCACACTTATAATCCTAGCACTTTGGGAGGCTGAGGCGGGAGGATCGCTTGAGCCAAGGAGTTGGAGGTTGCAGTGAGCTATGATGATGCCACTGCACTCCAGCCGGGGCAACAGAATGAGACCCTGTCTCCAAAAATATTAGTAATAAATAAATACATTTGTGAAATTTCCAACAATGTGCAAGGCATTCAAGGGCCACGGGACGTGGGGACCTGGGGTCTTCAGACTGGCTGTGGCCGGCTCTCCCCACCGGTCTTCACGTGGGTTCCCTCTAGCAGCAGGAGCAGGGAGGTGGGGCAGAGACAAAATGAACAATCCTGAAAATCCCAGGAATCTTCTAAAGCATTAAAAACCATTCCATGCCTGCCTTCCTGGCCTCCTCCATCTCTCCCTTCTTTCCTTCCTTCCTGCTTGTCTTCCTTGGTTAGTTCATCCAGACAAAATCATCAGGCAGGTGCGAGTAGGGTGGTAACAGTGGCCCCTGCGTGTGGGTCAGAGATGGGCACACACAGAGCAGGGGGCAGGGGGAGAACCCCTCCTGGACAGAGTGAGCCTGGGTTTCTCCCCGATGAGGAAGGGAAGAAACGGAAGAACTCTGGGGTGTTGGACTGGCACTGGAGCTATCGGTGAGAACACAGGGTTTAAGTGTGTATATGTATGTACAGAGAGACAGAGAGAGAAAACATAGATTAAAAGGGTGTGTATGTGTATATGTATGTATATATGCATGTGTACACATGTGTATATGCATATGGTATGTGAATGTACACATATATACAGATTTGATATATGTGGATATGGTGTGTGTGTGCGCATTCCCCAGCTCTGTTCAGCAAGAAGGTCTGGAAGCAGCAACGTTCCAGTAGCGATGAGCTCACCCAGTCCCGAGATCTTGTCTTCACAATACCATTTGCAGAAATGGCTGATTCTCAGGCTGAGGCGGAGGAAGTACAAGATGAGTTTGGAACATCTTGTTGAGACAGAGAGTAAAGAAGTACTCAGGCCGGGCCCGGTGGCTCATGCCTGTGATCCTAGCACTCTGGGAGGCCGATCAAGTCAGGAGTTTCAAAACCAGCCTGAGCAAGAGCGAGACCCCATCTCTACTAAAAATAGAAAGAAATTAATTGGCCAACTAAAAATAAAGAAAAAATTAGCTGGGCATGGTGGTGCATGCCTGTAGTCCCAGCTACTCAAGAGGCTGAGGCAGAAGGATTGCTTGAGCCCAGGAGTTTGAGGTTGCTGTGAATTAGGCTGACGCCATGGCACTCTAGCCCTGGAAACAGAGTGAGACTCTGTCTCAAAAAAAAAAAAAAAAAGGAATTACTCAAAGAATAATGGGGACATATCAAAGGAACACAGAAGCCAACTGGAAGGGGGTTTTTCTGGCCAAATCTGGTCTAATTTAAAAAGCAAAATAAATAATGATGGCAATGGATTGTAACCCAGTGAATAAAATAGGAATCCATGAATATACACTGAAGTAAACAAACAAATTAATAAATAACTGGGCAGAAGGGAAAGCTTTTCCTTAGATTAGAATGCCAAATAAAAAATAAAGAAAATCACCTTTTGGCAAGTATGATAATAATTATTGTTCCAGGTGAACAACATCAGTGAGAGCAGGTTAAAACCAGCGATGTAAATGGAGCCACAACAGGATATTTACTTAGTGCTAAAGAATCTCCACCAAAGATGCTAATTACTTACAAAAGTAAGCTTTGGACAAATTGAATAGTCCTAAAAACACTGCTAGGAAGGGGATCTAGCCATTAGAAGAATGTACATTAAACCTAAAAAGAATATTTCTTGAACAAGTTGTTCGAAAATCAGTCAATTTGGTAACATGAGGCAGTGACCCTTCAATGAGCTTTCGGAGAACTACCTTTTGCAAAATTGGCCTTTGAAGGGTTGGCAGCTTCCCCTGCACCTGCTTGAGTCCTCTCCTCAAGCCCCTGGTCCTGGTCTGGGGCTTCACCCAGACCTACCTCTAGCCTCCTGGCAGCCTCCCGGGAGGAGAAGAGGACTCATATTTCTTATAACAGCCCTTTATGGTGCAAATTCATAACCCCATTTTACAGATAGGAAAATGAAGGCTTGAAGAAGTGAACTGACTTGTCCAAAGCCTCGTAGTCAAAAAGCAACCCAGCTGGACTTGGTGCACAGGTTGACACCCTCCAGCGGCAGGGTTCTCCCACCTGCTGGCGCCAGACCTAATTAGAGCCCCGCTGGCCTCTGAGAAGGGCTGGGAGGCGAGTGTGTTATTAGAGCATGAGATTCTGGAAGCTCCCACCATGTGTCATTATGTCTTAATTACATGGGTTCAGGCTTCTGCGTGGGCTGGTGGAGCCAGAGCGTCTCCGTGCCCAGGTGGCCAGGGAATTTATGCAGCCAAGAAGTGGTTTAGAGGCTGCTGAAGAGCCCTGGTAACATGTTCCCCACATCTTCCGGAGAAAGCCGAGCTCCAGACCCTTCTCCGAGGCTGTGGGCAGTGCTCGCTGGAAGTGCTGTCTATCCGGGCCTCGCTGCATCTTCTTAGCCAGACTTAACCAAACAATTTTTAAAAAGGATGAAATCGGAAGACTCAAACTATGTTATTTCAAGACTTACTACAAAGCTACCGTAAGTAAGACTGTGGTGATAGCATAAGATTAGACCTACAGATCAATGGAACAGAATAGAGTCTAGAAATAGACTGATATACATTAGGCCAGTTGATTTTTGACCAAAGTAACTGAATGGAGAAAAAATAGTCTTTTTAGCAAATGGTGCAGAAACAATCAGACATCCATATCCAAATGAGAGAACCTCTAGACCCCCTACTTCTCACAACGTCCAAAAACTCAAATGGCTCATAGACTTAAATGTAAAATATGGAAAAATAAGACTGCTAAGAGGTGATCTAGGAAAACATCTTTGTGACTTTGATAAAGATTCTTAGGATGCAAATAGCATAAACCATAAAGGACAAACATTGATAAATTGGACTTCAACATTTAACACTTCTGCTTTATGAAAGTCACTGCTAAGAAAATGAAAAGAGAAGCAAAAGACTGGGAGAGAATGCCTGATAAATAGCTGGTATCTGGAATTTAAAAATAACTCATAATTCAATAATAAGACAAACTGCTTGATAATAAAATAGGCAAGAGCCTTGAAGAGACACCTCAAAAAAGACACAGGGGCAGCAAACAAGGGCATAAAATGTTCAAGGTCATTATTCACTAGGTAAAGGCAAATTCAAGCTGCAAGGCCCTAGCACTCCTCAGCTACAGAATGGCTAAAGTGTGAAATTCTGACAATACCAAGTGCCAGTGAGGACGTAGAGCAACCAGAGCTTACGTTGCTGGCAGGAATGCAAAATTGTACAACCGCGTTGGAAAATGGTGTGGCAATTTTTAATTTAGTTAATGGATGAACTTTGAAAACCTTATGCCAAGTAAAATTAGTCAGTCACAAACCACTGCATGATTATCTGATTCCATCTATATGAAATTTCCAGAGTGGGCAAGTCCGGAGAGATAGAAAGCAGATTAGTGGCTGCTTAGGGCTGGGCGAGGAAGGGGTGGTGATGAAAACACCCTAAAACTGACCGTGGTGCTGTCTGCACATATCTGTGACTGTACACGCACCCAAAACCCCGCTGAACTGTGCACTGAAAGTGGGTGAATGGTGTGGTGTGTGAATTATGTCTCAATAAAGCTGGTTTTCTAAAAAAAAAAAAAAATTTTGACCCTGGCTATTCTTTTCTTTCCTCTCGCTCTCCACTTCCTATCTCCATAGTTTTTCTCCCCAGCAAGTATTTCTTGGTTGTTTCCCAGCAATTCCTGTCCCCAGTTCCCACTGTCTGCCTTTTCCCCTCAAATGTCCCTACGCTGCATCCAGCTTCCCCTGGGGATGGGGTGCAGGAAAAGACACCAGGCAAACCCCGAGTCTCTGCACCCACAGGGCAGGCTGTGGGCGCCAGGACCCGCCTTAGGGTGGCGTGAGTGAGGCGCCCAGGGCACAAAACACAAAGCGGTGCCCACCCCGGGGCGTGCACCTGCAGTCGGTCCTGGAAGCGAGTGTTCCCTGTGTTTCCACCCCTCCCCCGTGGAGAAATACACAGGACATAACATTTGCCGATTCCGTCATTTTAAAGTGCACAGTTCAGCATATGTACAGTGTTGTGGAACTATCACATGTATCTAGCTCCAAGACATTTTCATCACCCAAAAGAAAACCCCGTACTCCTTAGTGGTCGCTCCCGTTGTCCCCCTGCTCCCGCCCCTGGCAACCACTCGTCTACCTGTTGTCTCTATAGATTCCCTATTCTGGACGGTTTGCATACGTGGAATCATACGACACGTGGTCTTCTGTGGCTGGCTTTCTTCACTTACCATGATGTGTTCGAGGTCCATCCACGTTGCAGCGTGTGTCAGCACTTCATTCTTTTTGATGGCCAAATAATATTCCACTATATGGACAGACCACATTTTATTCGTCCATTCATCTGTTGAATTGTTTCCACCTCCCAGCTATTATAAATAATGCCACTGTGAACATTCGTGTTCAAGCTTTTATTAGAACACCTGTTTTCAGTTCTTTGGGGATATCCTGGGAGTGGGGTTGCTGGGTCGGAAGGTAACTCTATGCTCAGTTTCTTGAGGAATCGTCTGCTGACGCTTTGCACCGTGGGCTTCTGGCTTGTCTCATCCTAGCCTGGCCCCCGTGCACACTCTCCCATTTATAACTCTTGTCCCCACGCCACCACCGTGCCCAAGCTCATTAGCAGCTTTGAGGCAGAGGAGTTGAGCTGGGCAACAATTCTAGGTCACAGTTGGGGGCCTGGGAGGGTGTCCTGTGGGGTTGCAGCACAAGGAGAATGTGGCCTGGGCACTGAGACGTCAACAGAGACCAGCACGGGAGACCCCTGGATGTCACTGTCAGGAGCTGGGACGTCACCCTGTCACACTGTCGTTGCAGGGAGCCCGGGTGAGA